GGCTATTGTGTCTACTTGAATGAAGAAGTGTCAGGAGTTGAACAGTGGGAAATTAAATCATCCTATTTTGGACATATTTTTGAGTTAGAGCTAGACCTTAGGAGAGTCACTTCCCTGACTCTTGTCCAATACTTTATTTCAGATTAATAATTCTGTGTGTTTAACATTGATCGACCGTGTATCATCTAACACGCCTGCTGCAAAGCTGCATTGACATTCCCGCAATTTTATTGACTACTCGAGAACAGTTAATCATTTTCCAATAGCCACGGCAAACGACAAGAGCTCCGGCTCCGGGGCCAGTCACGCCCGCCAAATCATCGCCAAATGCGTTTAGGGACGCCTTTCATCTGTCGCTGATCTATTCATTGCCGCGACAACGGCCCGGCCCCACTCGCCCATTGTCACTCAACGATCCTAGAAATTTATTACACTTTGGTATCACGTATGGTCAAGCATTTTCATGTGTGACTCATATTCATAAAGATGGAAATGAAATATTCTGGTTTATGAAATATTCTTTAGACGCCACACAGAATCAGAAGCAAGCCCGAGCAAACAAAAAGGTAAACCTCATTTAAATAATTTTAACCAAAAGCAGAGCAAATAAACCCTTCTAAATGACGCGTTAAATACAATCAAACAACGTCATTATACACGAGTAGCTCGCTGGGCCGGGGCTAGCAGAAAAACTGTCATAAAAAGGGATATCAGTCAGCTGAAGGTGCGTGACAATGCGGCCGTCGGGGGTCTATTATGGTTTTGTCAATGGGCCCCTTAAGAAATTTGTTACGAAATTTTGATATGTGGCAACTGCTTTGTGGGACAGGGACACCCGGGAGACGATTACATATGTGCGGTTATTATTCGGCGCTGCGACGGCTGGGACGCGGTGTTTATGGCCTGTGGGGCTCGAGCGGCCGCGAATTTGTCGAGGGGCGCTGGAGTCCTGGCCCATTGTCCCCGCCGGGTGCGCTCGGCCGGAGTCAATGACAGCTCGACCTGTCACAATAGCGACATCGATATCCGTATGAAATTGGGATGCGAAATTTATGAACTACGGCTATTATCCGAGCAGCCGGAGAATATTACTTGCTTAGTGATTTTCAATAGATTTGATTCGTATTAAAGCGGAAGAAAGTTAACTGTTGGTTTTTAATTTTTGTTTCCTCCATGACTAACGTCTTTTGAATTTGAAGGAATATTAAGAAGGCTTGTGTTCACAATACAAAGATAGACAGACGTAATAGAACTTAAGCTCTGAGAGAAGCATCGCATTGCACGTCTTGCAGAATGCAACGGTTTACTAGAACGCTGCATTAAAATACAAATTCACATTATTAAGTGCAATGAGTAAATAGCCCCGCCTTCTCTAAACGTCTTTCACAACACAACACAACGGGCTTATTATATTATACAGCATATCATTAGATTACCGCCGCGTGTCGCGCGGGGGCGGGCGGGCGGTCGGCGCGTGCGACAGCATCGTGACGCAACTTACTACACTACTTACGCGCCAAATTAGTCCGTAATTTTCGTAAAAACACTTACAAATATTCAATTTATTAGCTTGGTTATAAACTCTTAAATTTCCGACATCCATTATACATAAACTAGCCGTCGAAACGAAAACAAAACATTGATTAATTTTTTAATATCGATAATTTTTTTTTGCATCGTGTACTTTCAATTATTTAGGTACTTGGAGTTAATTATTAAAGTTTTGGCGCAATTTTCTAACGTCTAGAAATTTTAACGAGGCATATTTAATTAAACAATTAAAAAGTTAGGCAATTCTTGTCCAATAAAAGCAGCAGAAAGTTTCTCACGTTTTCTTTGGAAAATGATTATATTGACGCTGATGTATTGTACATTTAATTAATAATTTAATTTCTTTTCAATATTTTTTGTACTTTAAAAATGAAAATCACCATTAAACAAGTGATGTAAACTTTTGTTTGTTACGAGTACAATCATTTGCTGCTTGAGTTTTAAAATTAATACACCAAAAAATATAGCTGAAAGGAATTTAACGATTTCCCTATTTACTTTGAAGTAAGTATATTACAAATACTTTATACCTACTTAATGAAAATTTATCCACATGTCGTGTTCGCAACCAGCTTCTAATTGTTACGGAATTGTTGTCCGCGCGATTGTTTAACTTTTTTATTTATCGTTATAAATAAAATAAAATAGACCACATTTTTTCATTAGAAATTTAATATTAACTGTATTACGGCTCAGTGCCTCTAGTTTCACTCTGGATTTTAAAGTTAATTTCTAGCGGTTTCATTTGTAGTTTTATGCTATTCGTAATATCCTAACAAACTCAATTAACAGTTGTTTATATTTGTTTAGTGGTCCTTTAACGTTCGTTATTTACACATAATTATTATAACCATCTCTTTTTTTCTCAGAAACGAAGTTTAAAAGTCGATGGCCTGAATCCGTCTTGAAGGCTCAGCATCGTGATGCTTGAGATTAAATTGAGATTTGAGCGTCGTTTCGTAATTAAGGTCTAATGTTATACTTGGGTACAATATTGGTAAGAATTGTATCTATTACGCAGTTGTAACATACTTACTGTCAATTTAAGAATGCGTTTAAATTAATTACGTTTTCCATGATTTTAAATACTTGTTGTTAGGTGGGTACTTTATTGTTGTATTTTTTGCGTTTTGATTCAACGCTAATTCGTTAACGGTAGAGGCAACAACTTTAATCACCAATAACATTCTAAACACATAGAGAACCTACAAGAAAAAATATTCGAATGTATCAAATGAAGGTAGAGCTTATATGGCCTTTGTCGGCGCGTAGCATGGCGCGGGCGCATGCATCATGTGTAGCGTGCGCTGCATTTGTCCACATTATTGGTATTTTACATTTTAATGAAATGCTCACCTTACAATGTTGGTCATTAGCACCTACTTATCTTACTTATTTTTGCTTGTAAAATAAAATAACGTTAAGGCGTACCCCTCACATGACTGTATCATTTAATATTGCTACTTTAAACCCTGAGTATTTTAGTTGTATTGGCAAGCCTTAAGATATCCCAAAGAATATCCACAAGATCCTCTTAAATTGCCTCGTTCTGAGAGTTGGAGTGGGTAATCAATAGTCAAATTCAGGCTAGTAGGCATATTCCCAATGGTCTTTACTACACCTTTTTGAGCTTTATAACTAAACTGACGCTTACTGAATGTTTGTGCCAGACCACATATCTTTATGTTAGTGTTTTAGGTCTTTCAGGTAAATGTTAGGCATACCAATGACACTTCATGTTGTCAATAGTTGTCAAGTACGAGTACATACAGTGTACAACATGTCACACCTGTTGATTTCTTATTCAATCTCGTGTGAGTAGTTCAAGGGAAACAAATAACGAAGAACTAACAACTTGGGGGAGGCATTTGTCTAGCAGTGGACTTCATTTGGCCTACTCGTATAAACAATTAAGCTAATTTCCTCGGGGTGAACTGGTTTTTTATTCAGTTCTGCCATGCCTCCAAGCTGCAACCGTAGCGTGGCGCGCGCGCATGTCTCACGCTCGTGACAGTGCGCATCTTGTGCATTTGATACGCAACTCGCAACCTGCAACCGCAGTGTATGTAACCAACCATGTTTATTGCACGAATTATGATCTGAGGTGTAACTTTGCCGTTGCTTTATGGGTTCCCTCCAACCGTTGAAAAACTGACACAGCGTTTTGGCAGTTCTCAGGAATATATTCACGTTCCCTAACCCAATTTACTTCAGTATTCACTAGCTACTTTATAACAACTATTTTATAACAACAAACAAGGTTTTAACTGAGAAACCATAAAAAAAAACACGCAATACTACTTACGAAAATGTACGGAACCCAGAATGCGAGTGCTGCTCGCCAACGGCCTAGTTGGCTTTCCAAGTATTGATTTATTGCCAGACTAGTATCCAGAAAAAGTATTGTAAACAAAAACAAAATTGACTTAAATAAAAAATCGATACGGCTGTTGGTCCCATAGAAAAAGTTATTGCATTTGTGCAGCGGAATTACTTCTTGGATGTGCGTTCTTTTAATGGAACCTCATATATTAAGGTATGCGTTACATTTATTACTTACATAATAAGTGTTCTAACGTTATGAATAAAGCTAAAATTAATGTCTAAACTCAATTAAAACCTATGTCTGTGATGTATTGTTTGCTTCCATCACAGACTTCTCGAATCTCATAATCATAGTGTGAACCTAAGACCATGGCTTGTTGAGTTGTAGATTAGATTAGATTTATTCGCCTGCTACAATATCGTCAGTGCATCACAACGAACTTGTCACTGATCAATATGCGCCGCGGCAGTTGTTCGCGTCTCGCGGACGGGGCGGCGTATTTGCGCAAACCGTATTAGATTATGGCTCCGCACAACGCGCGTCGTCGCAGCGCCATCGCAAACAAACACCGACTAATTCTTGCGACGCCCACGAGCTGATGTAATTATTCGGCAGCTCCCCTGCTTGCAACTGTCGCGTGTAAAAAACTAATTTAATTACTTTTCAATGGTAAACACCAAGATTTAATTCGGTGAAGGGTGCATTGTTTGCATATTGCAACAGAAAAGTATCACAGTCAAATCCTTTATTTTTAGTAGATGCCAAAATGGTGAGATGATACTGAGGTAACTTTAATCTATCACAAATCAGTCAACCCAAGAAAAATACGGTTTGATGATATTTTTCGATAGAAGATTCAATCAAAGCGTTAGCCAATAGTACCGGTGTCTTTGAGAAGTGTAGAGCTACCGATGACTACAAGTACATTATTGCAGCGTTGCCTTTGATATCTTTAAGATCACTGAACGCTTTCTGCCTTTAGTCAAGATTTAAGCATACGCTCTCTTACACCAAAGTTATTAGACTCCCCGCTCGGCTGACCAAAAGTCAGTAGTGTCTTAAGGCCGAAAGAAAGAAATACGAGTAATGCAGTATTTTCTTTCAACTTTCGTGTTTGTTCCAGACGGAGCACCGCACATGTTGCGCGTGCGGCGAGCCGATCGCCGACCGGTTCCTGCTGGAGGTGGGCGGCGGCGCGTGGCACACCGGCTGCCTGCGCTGCTGCGTGTGCGCCGTGCAGCTGGACCGCCACCCCTCCTGCTTCCTGCGCGACCGCCAGGTCTACTGCAAGCAGGACTACGCCAAGTGAGTCCCGCCCTCGCTCTAGCAGCAGGACTGTGCTGCCCGGTCGTGCTGGAAGCCTAGAAGTGGGCGGCGCGCGTGGCAAACCGGCTGCCTGCGTGACCGCCACGTCTACTGCAAGCAGGACTGCGCCAAGTGAATCCTGCCCCTGCTCTGGCAGGTCTGTCGACCAGTTCCTACCTCCTCTACAGCTGCGTGTGAATCACACATGATTGTGCAAGAGTATGCCAAGCGAGTTTTCAGACTGACAAACGTCTTCATCATCATCATCATCATCATCATTTCAGCCATAGGACGTCCACTGCTGAACATAGGCCTCCCCTAAAGCTTTCCACGTTGATCGATTGGTAGCAGCCTACATCCAGCGCTTCCCTGCTACCTTTACGAAACAAACGTCTTGCTGACAATAAATTTAAGTGAAAAGAGCCAGCTTCAAGCGTGAACGACCAGTTGTTTGCAAGATTCTACAAAGCTATTATCTTCTGTTAGTGGTAGGTCCGTGTCATAGTAAAACCCAAAAAATGCGTCTGTGATTTGTTGCCAAATCCCGTAATAGTGATAATTTGTAGAGAAAAATGCAACATAAAAATTTAAAATCTGTGATTTTAATTAAGAATTCAAAGTCTAACTTAATTTTCACATCAAAGGACGGTAGACATTACCTAATCAACTTTAATTGACTGGATACGATTAATTGTTGATGGATATCTAATAATAATTCACTTAATTTGTCCTTCATTCTTAGTTGACTGTCTATCAATAACCCAAAGGTATCAGTCCGTGAAAATGACAAGTTTTCTTAAAATTGAAAAAAGTTATTATAATAAAATATGTGCAAACACCAAGCGCATTCCAAACAGGATTACCTATAAGTACTCTTAATAAAAACGAATAGAACTGCCGCAAAAAATACTACGCTAGTAAGTATTCCCTCCGCAAAAAGCAAGATTAAATTATGCTAACTCAAATGAACAAGGTGTTCTTCAAAGCATTTCTACTGACACAGATGATACTATACGATGCTATTCGTAGCTAATTGCAAAATAAAGTTCATAAGTACTTCTAGACGCGTATTCATACATCGATAACTTGTTCATCATCAAACGTTTTACCTCCAGCCACAATCGCCCGAAATTGCTGACCAATAACGGAATGTGAGGTATTCAAAACATTTCTCTACACGATCGGCACCGTTTAGCCGGGGCGTACGATAATCGTTCACAATACTCTGCCTACGTGCAATTAACCTTCGCATCAGAATGTCCGTAGTCATCATTTCCCGAGTCATTCCTTGTGTGGCGAGGGCTACCCGGCCGATGATAGATGGTGTCCACTTGCACGGGCTTGGTGGTAAAGCTAGAACTTTTGACCGTGGTCGGGTAGCGCGCCCAACGATGTTAAGAGTCGATAGTATATTTGACAGGTGCTTATCGAGTTATTTTTGGGCAAAGTTCAAAGTGAAGGTTTTTCTCATTGTAATGCAATTCCATCATATACTTAGTTATTCACAGATAATAATAAAACCGTCAAGGTAATAGTTAAAACCCGAATAACGAGCGAGTACAACATCACTGCGTATAAAATTGATTAATTTATTGGACCACCTACATCCATAACAGTAAATATTTTCAAAACTCCCACGTAAAAAGAAAGTAGGAATCCCTTTAAAATCTAAAGGTGAATGAATATTGTTGCTCGCTGAAAAACACAAATAGGCGTAATAATATTTTCTGATGCTTAAAATTTAAGATGAATAGTAAATAGCTTTATCTGTATTATTATTGGTGAACTTGAGTCTTCGATTTTTAGTGAATTATTTGTTGTGACACATTCCGCCAATCCGTTCGGACTTAAACAAACGATGCTAGATCAGATGTCGATGATTGCGTTTTTATCGACAAATTCCCCGCGCTGCGCCCGCGCCGAGTAGGCGGTCCGACCCGTGACCCCGCGCGGGTGGCGGCGTGTCGGCCGCGTCGGCGATGTCGGCGTCGCATCGATACCGCCTCATGTCAATACGCGTGTTTGTTTCTCAGGGTGGAACGCTGACCCACGTGAGACAAGAATTCCGACTTACTTATTTGTTACCCACCAGTCCAATCCAATAATTTAGTAAAAAGTGTATAATCAAGTATAAAATTATTTGTAAAGACAAAAATTGGGGACACTACCTACGACTTTGTTTAAAATTCGTCATCGTTGGTTGGGTTTTATTGGCTATTTATCTATAACATCCTGGCTGCAATAGCATTGCAGTGTTGGGAACATGAAATGGGACTAGTTATTACAGCTTACAATAGTGATTTTGTATTGGCTAATAAATCACTGAGGTGGTTTCTGGCTTGATTAGAAACTTGCAGACTTAAATCAACATGGGTCTCAGTTACTGCCTGCTAAGAGATGCCTATCTTAGATGTTTATAAAGTAAAGCGAGTAAGAGTAAAGTTACGAATTATGCTAGATTTCTATATTCAATCCTAATCCAGATCCTTCCGTCAACTGTCAAATTTCAATATTTTTTTGGTAAAAATATCTGCGGTTTTCGATGTTTTTACATTTCATATTGTTAACAATATTAAAGTGTAAATGCATCGACTATTTTGGATATTTAATCTAAAACTGAATTCAATTTGACAGTTGTAATGTAATCCGGATTTAGACAAGGTTTGAATATGGGAAACAGGCGTTATATAGTTAACTTAGGAAAGCATTAACAGAACAGCTTTATTTATCCTACACTGATTCAACGGGTACACAAAAGGTAAAAAAGTAAAACAAAACAATTGAAAGAGTACATATAAAAAGATATAAAAGCATAACATACGAGTAAAAGAAATATTTTTCAGTAGCTACTTTTATTTGGCTGGCTTGTACTTACATTTGAAGATACTTGAAAAGTTTCAGTTTCATCAAATACCAGCAAGTGATTGATCAGCTCATATCCTGTAAAAAACAGCAAGCAATGTAACCATTCTCACAGTTCTGCTAATTCATAATAATGTGTTTTTTTTTCATCATACGCTGATGAAAATTTCAGAATTTAAGGTGCTTGCCTTCATAACTAATTTAATAATCACATGCTTAATTAATTTAATTATTTTTTCTTTGTACGGTAATGAATAATTAGTAACTTTAACATGGTCGTTAAAGTTGAAAGAAAAGTACGTACATTTTATAGTCACAATAAGTTCTGCTGCCTGCCAACATAAAACTAAAGAGTTATATCACTGACACTTTTCACTGCACTGTATCACATTAAACAAACATAAATTTTTAAAACAATCTAATTAAAAGAACCATAACAAACAAAATATTTATCGCGGACATCCTTCTGACAAGCTGTTGCTTTACTGAGTACTTCTCAATCTCTCAATAGTCAATACCTATAAACCGGCATATTAAAATCCGGTTGGCAATGGAGTATTTTTATTTTATTCAGAACAACAAACAATTACATAATATAGCTTATACCAGTATTAATGAATATTATTAATATTACTAATTATGTAACCAATAACATTGTTCGCAAAGTAATTTTCAAAAAAGGAAAACAAAAACCAAAGCAGTGACCATCTACTAGTGTTATCTATACTTATAATAAATCTGTAGAGAGGTCAAATCTGTACATTAAATATATTTTCAAAATAACTATCAGGGGGTGATTAGTGATCGATACTGATGCCAAAAATGCAATCAGTAAAATTTTTGTCTGTCTGTCTGTCTGTCTGTCTGTCTGTCTGTCTGTCTGTCTGTCTGTATGTTCCTTATAGAAACAAAAACTACTCGACGGATTTTAACGAAACTTGGCACAATTATTCTTCATACTCCTGGGCAGGTTATAGGATACTTAGGAATTCCCACGGGAATGGGAATTAGCGGGAAAATCGTTTTGTATGAAAAATCTGAACCGCTTAAGTTAGACGCTTGAAATTCGGCATGCAGGTACCTTAGTAAACTTAAAGCTTAGTTACAACAGGATATTGCAAAATTCCCACGGGAACGGGAGTTAGCGGGAAAAAACATTTGTATGTAAAATCTAAACCGCTTAAGTTAGACACTTGAAATTTGGCATGCAGGTACCTTAGTAAACTTGAAGCTTAGTTACAACAGGATATTGAAAAATTCCCACGGGAACGGGAGTTAGCGGAAAAAAACATTTGTATGAAAAAATCTAAACCGCGTAAGATAGATGAAGGAGGTACAACGGGATTCACGCGTACGAAGTCGCGGGCGGCCGCTAGTGTATTAATATAACAAATATACTAAGTATTGACTTTTTAAATGTAGTAGGTAGTGCCTAAATAAGTGAACTCATTTAAAAACTTAATATCTTGGTTTTTGGGGATTTGACAACACCACCTCATTCTATAATACTTCTGTATCAACATTGGCTTTGAAATTATACTTATTTATCAATGGTATTTTTAAAACCATAGTTACAAATTTTGAAAATCACAAATGAAAGAGGAGTGAGACACTATGTTTCCCCGATATAAAAGACATCAACGATATTTTTCGTACTATTGTAGTACTTACATAATTAAGATTTTAATAATATTTAGTAATAATAACAGCAAACCTCCAGTAAAAAGTATTACTAATTTTAAAAACTGTTATCCTTCTTCGAAAGAGAAATGTTTTTCGTTAGATGTGTTCGGTTCGGACAAATAGCTTGAAATGTATCGATCGATTGATGCCTAATTTATTAGGAATTATTATACAACAAATATTATAGCATAATACAAACATACATGAATATCTCCTTTGGACCATTTCAAACAAAGCCAACTAGCCCCAAAGTAAGCAACGTAATACAACAAAAGTAATATGCTTGTGTTATGGGTGCTAGCTTAACGAATATAGGCTATTTATATACTTTTTTTGCAATACATACATCATTTAATTTCTGCCCGGCCGAGATTCTAGCCCGGGATCTCGTGGCATAGTAGTCCGTTTCTGAACCACTACACCAAACGGCCGACAGACTGCTAAAATCATAACCC